AGCCATCCTCTGTTCATCCTCCATCGCCCGCCGCGTCTTAACAACACAATTGACTCCGCAAGTAGATCTCCAACGCAAAGTGGAGATCATCGCCCAGAGCGTTGACCGGTTAGCTAAAGTGCAAGAAAAGCACTATGAGTTTAGTCGCAGCCAGGAGATATCCGTGCGTTCGATGCGAACGGGATTACGGGATTTTGCTCGCGAACAAGTAGGCGCTGTGGGATCCGAGGTGAGTCATCGCCTCGAGCAGACTGAGCGTTTTTGTGTTGGCGTCATCGAAGGCGTCAAGGTGGCCGCTCCCAAGGAGGAGGAGGCCTGTCCTCGCAGGGAGCCAGTCAAAGTCAAATTCCCTGATTCCTACAGTGGGAAAAGGGAAGAGAACTTTGACAATTGGAATGCCAATGTTAAGACCTATGTGCATTTGCAACAGGTCTCCCCGGATCAGCAGGTCTTAATTGCGATCCATGCACTTAGAGACGAGGCCGCCAGTTTCGCGAGATCCCTTGTTCGTGCTGCCAGTTGTAGTGACGATCCAGTTGCGTACTCCTCGTTTACGTCCCTCATTGAATTCTTGAAGCTGCTGCGCAAGCGATTCGCTGATGTTGCCCGTAGTGTCAAAGCCTCAGATAGGCTTCAGACAATACACTCGCGCCAATGGAAGAGTGCAAGGGCACTCAAGGGCACAATGGATGAGTTGGTGGCTGTTCCTGACCACAAGGTCACGGAAACCCAGTTGGTCAACCTTTTCTATCGGGCTATGCCCGAAACGCTGCGTGGTCACTTCTTTGACAAGAGTCAGGACCCTGCTATGACTTATGATATACTTAGCAGGGAAGTGGTCGCGTTCGAGGCGAAGTCTGCGTCGATTTCCACCTTCAGGCACATAGATTTAGACAAGGGCAAAAAGTGGAAGGGCCGCACTATCTCAGGGCAAGTCGAGACCAAGGATAGCCTTGTGATCACTTTAGATGAGGGTAGTGTGGACGAGATCCTCTACGACCAGATTGAATGGGGGTTCGAGGAGGAGGACAGTAGTGTGGGCCAGGGGAGGACTTACACTGTTGTCGCGGCTGGAGGGAGGCCGCAAGGAGGACGAGGCCAAGGCCAAGGGGGCCGGGCCTCAGGGAGCCGGTTCCAGGGCGATCAGGGGGTTGGCGGCAGAGGAAGGAACCGCCAAGCGGGAGGTAGGGGTCAAGGTCCCCCGCAAAACCGTCCTAGGAACAGGTCTCCCTATAGAGTAGGAGGATGGCACCCAATGCTACCTCAGGGTAGGCCGTGGGAATCTTTGGGTCTGGACGAGGCTTTATGGCAACAACGATTGAACCGGGGCCAGTGCATTTTCTGCGGTGACCCGGGGCATATCACCAAATATTGTCCTAAGTATCAAGAGACCCGAACGGCTGCTCAAGAGCCAAAAGGCAGCCGCCGGTAGGGGTAGCAACTGCCCCTACCACTAGGCCATGTGAGGAAAATAGCGCTAGCCGGCAGGAGACTCCCACACCACATGTGCCTACGGCAAAGGTTGCAGGCCGGTGTCTAGACAGCTGTCCCGAGACTGTTTGTGTTAGAGTTTCGCTAGACACCTCGCTCACAGGCGTGGCGGAAGAGTTGAAGGAGAGGAGGCCCGCCTCGGCCAAGATGATGGAGAATAAAGGGCAGCTGATTTTATTAGATGCAGAGATTTTTAGAAGTAGAGTAGGGGCTTTAGTAGACTCAGGGGCCACCCGCAGCTATATTAGTAAGTAGGCGCTGCGGAAGTTGAGGCTGGGACTTAAGGTCCAGAAACTGACAGACCCCATAGTTAGTATCCTCGCGGACAATCGTACCATGGTTGTAGAGGATTACGTAGAGGGAGTTCAGGCGTATTTCCGCCTAGAGAAAGATGGGAAGGTGGAGAAGGTCCTCCACTCCCTAACTCTCCTCGTAGAGGACAGCCTCCCGTTTGATATAGTACTGGAAATGGATTGGGGAGAGGCAGCCGGGGCAACGCTCCATCTGAAGGAGCATGAGTGTAGACTCCCTAGTTCTGCAGGCGAAGCTAAGACTGCCCGCCTGTTTCATGTGTCAGGAGTAGAGAATTCCTTGGCACATTGCTGCCTTAGTGCCCCTGCGTTCGCCAGATTGGTGAGGAAGGAGAAATTAGAGGAACAGGTTTTTGTTGCCTATGTTAGGCCCGTCACTGAGCCTACGGAAGAGAAGCCGATGGACCCTGCGATTGCCAAGCTGCAAGAGGAGCTTAAGGATTTGACTGAGCCGCCGACAGGCACAGTGTCGCGGCCCATCCAGCACCGTATCGAGATAGAGCCTGGCAGTAGAACTCCTAAGGGTGCTGTGTATAGGATGTCCCCGGGGGAGTTAGAGGAGCTTCGCAAGCAATTAGACGAGCTCCTCGAGAAGGGTTGGATTAGGCCCAGTTCGTCTCCTTTCGGAGCGCCTGTTCTCTTTGTTCCTAAGAAAGAGGGAGAGCTGAGAATGTGCATAGACTATAGGGGTCCGAATGCTATTACAGTAAAGAATGTTGAGCCACTGCCTAGGATCGACGATCTCTTAGATCGAGTGCAGGGGGCTAAGTATTTCTCTAAGATAGACTTAAAGTCCGGTTATCATCAGATAGAGGTACACCCTGATGATCAGTATAAGACAGCCTTCCGGACTAGGTACGGGCATTATGAGTTTATAGTGATGCCCTTTGGACTAACCAATGCGCCACCAACTTTTCAGCGGTGTATGAATTATTTGTTTAGGCCGTGGTTAGACAGATTCGTTGTAGTTTATCTAGATGACATCCTAGTGTTTAGCCGGACCCTTGAAGAGCATCAGGGTCATCTCAGGCAAGTCTTGGAGAAGCTGAGAAAAGCTAATTTCAAGATCAATGCAAAGAAGTGCGATTGGGCAAAGACCCAAGTTTTGTATCCAGGCCACGTCTTAGACGGAGACGGCGTTAAGCCAAAAGACAGCAAGATCGCAGCGATTAGAGATTGGCCCACGCCACGGACGCTGACAGAGTTGCGCTCGTTCCTGGGCTTAGCGAATTACTACAGGAAGTTCGTAAGGAACTTCTCCACCATCGCTGCGCCCCTTCACAGATTGCTGAGAAAAGAGACAATCTGGAAGTGGGACAAGGACTGCACGTCCGCCATRAAGAAGCTAAAGCAGGCGTTGATAGAGTATCCGGTCCTTAAGGTCGCCGATCCGTCCTTGCCTTTTGTTGTTACTACGGATGCTAGCCAGTACGGCATAGGCGCAGTGTTACAGCAAGATGATAACAATGACTATAGACCCGTAGAGTTCATGTCCGCTAGGATGCCTTCATAGAAGGTTGCGACATCTACCTATGAGAGGGAACTCTACGCTCTCAGGCAAGCATTAGACCACTGGAAGCACTACTTGCTTGGGAGGCACTTCAAAGTCTATTCGGACCATGAAACGTTACGGTGGTTAAAGACCCAGGCCAAGATGACACCTAAGCTTACTAGGTGGGCCGCAGAGATAGATCAGTACGACTTCGAGCTCAAGCCTGTCAAAGGGAAGTACAACGTAGTCGCGGATGCTCCGAGTAGGAAAGCAGATTACTTTGGGGCAATAGTACATTACCTCGATATAGGAAAGGATCTGCAACAGAAGGTTAGAGAAGCCTACGCACAGGACCCTATCTATAGTGAGCTCCTCACGCGAGTCAAGTGGGCCCCAGACACCGAGCCGAACTACCGCACTACTGGAGGGTTACTCTTCGAGAAGACTATTGTCTTTGACCGGTTGTGCATCCCCAATAGCGAAGAGATCCGTAGTCTGATTATGGGGGAATGTCACGACACAGAGGGTCATTTCGGTTGGCAAAAGACTTTGGCCAATCTGATGCGCGCCTATACCTGGCCAGGGATGAAGAATGACTACGTAGAGTATGTTCGCAGTTGCAAAGTCTGCCAGCGTAATAAGAGTTCTACGCGCGCCCCGCTAGGTCTTCTCAGACCCTTGCCCATTCCAGATCAGCCGGGAGACTCAGTGTCAATAGATTTCATGGACACTCAAGTCAAGAGCAGGCATGGCAAGAGCCAAGTCATGGTCATAGTTGACCGCTTTAGCAAGTACGCAGTTTTTGTTCCTTTGCTTTCTGAGGCGCGTACTGATTTAGTCATACAGAGGTTCTTTGACTGTTGGATTAGTGAGAACGGAATCCCGCTGTCTATAGTTAGAAATAGAGATAGTCGCTTTACTAGCTAGAACTGGCAAGAACTCATGGGAGTAGACAGATCTAAGTTGTTGATGTCGTCCGACCGCCATCCAGAGACTAACGGTGAGACAGAGCAAATGAACAAGATCCTACAGCAAGTTCTGCGCATGTATATGGAAAAATTTCTAAAAAAGGACGTAACAATCAAGGCATCATTACTAGCCGACAGGCCAGATCAGATTAACTGGGATGAGATGAGGCGCGTATTGATTTAGTCATACAGAGGTTCTTTGACTGTTGGATTGGTGAGAACGGAATCCCGCTGTCTATAGTTAGAAATAGAGATAGTCGCTTTACTAGCCAGAACTGGCAAGAACTCATGGGAGTATACGGATCTAAGTTGTTGATGTCGTCCGACCGCCATCCAGAGACTAACGGTCAGACAGAGCAAATGAACAAGATCCTACAGCAAGTTCTGCGCATGTTTATTAGGCCAGATCAGATTAACTGGGATGAGATGTTGCCTAAAGTAGCTAGTGCGTACAATAACAGCGTGCATCTAGCCACCTGGCGCACTCCCAATGAACTGCACAAGTCCTTTAGACCGCGCAGATCGTTTGAGGGACTCAACCGGGATCAGATTCAGAGATTGCCGCCGGGGACCCGGGAGTTCGCTGTACAGCACGAGAAAGAACTAGCTATTGTTGTAGAAAACCTCAGGAAAGCCCAGCATAGGATGATAGAACAAGCAAACAAACATCGTTGCCCTTCACAGTTTCAAGGGGGCGACTTAGTCTGGGTTAGTTCGAAAGAGTTTGCACCTGAGGAGAACATCTCGCAGAAGTTACTGCCCACATCTAGAGGACCGTGGCCTGTTCTTGAAGTCAAGGGCGGTGAAGATGGACCGTCCTATACAATAGAACTACCTGCACACCTCCACACGTATCCAGTTTTCCACGCATCGAAGTTGCTACCTTGTCAAACAAGTGATCAGTTTCCATCCCGTAGATCTATGATCCCACCTGATATGGATGGAAGGTATGACATAGACGGTATAGTGGCTGAGGATGTCTTCAAAACCGGAGGAAGGGGTCGTCTGCAAAAACAGTACAAGGTTCATTTTAGTTATCAAGAACCGGAAGACGACCGCTGGTTTACAAGATCTGAACTTCTAGAGACAGCTCCCGATATAGTCCGGGCCTATGAAAGACAGCAGAAGGGTAAAGGTCCTGCCTTGGACTGAAATTTTCTCGGAGGACCTCGAATTTAGGCCGGCGGGAGTGAAACGGTATTCACCAGTTCGCAGTAGCAAATGCAGATCCCAGGGCTCGATCCCTAGTTCCCCATCTTACCTGTGTACAGTATTGATGACAACCCGTAGATTTGAACCTGCGACCTGTCGAAACGCCAGTGGTAGGTAGATTGTCGTAGGTGACAGCTTAGAAGGGAATCGAACTGTAGACCTGTAGGGTAGGAGTCTAGACAGTTCCGAAGTCGTAGCTGTAGGATATCTGAAGGGTCAAGGTCGTAGCTGCTACTTACCTGAAAGGGCAAAGTCGTAGCTGCTACAGTATCGAAAGGCCAAAGTAGAAGTTTCTAGAACTGGCCTTTCGGAGTCAGCCCCTGTTTAGGCCGAGGCAAGTGGGCAAGTGGTGTAGGTCCACTACGTAGAGTCAGCAGTCCCAGGTAGCCCAGTCTGGTCCAGTCAAGCAGGTACCGTCTGGGACTGTGCACATCGTGGGCCAAGGGATACAGGGCAGACCAACGCCGCACAGAAGTATAAATCACGAGGCTGCGTCCAGCCATTCATTCATTCCTGTGGATGCCATGCGGAAGCGCTGCCTCAGCAGCTTGTGCGGGGAGGTCTGCCGTGCGCCCGAAGACGAAGAGGACAGTGAAGTGTAGTGTAGCGATAGGGTAGTGGCAGCCATAGCTGCCATAGCTGCCATAGCTATAGTAGTGTGTGGGTGTGTGTGTGTTGCGTGTAGAGTGTTGCGTGTGGGACATCCAGGGTGATCCAAAGTGCGAACAGTGAGTTGTGTGGGCGCTCAGTCGCCATAGCCAGTTTGAAGGGAACTCCTACCTGGTTACGATATCTTTGAGTACTGTGTGGGCGCATGTCGCCAGTTTGCTGTTTCGCTGTTTGCATGCATGACAAGTGTGAAGAAGTCGAGTCTGATTGCAATTTTAAGTTTGGTAAAGAATTTGGATGTAACGTTGAGGCAAATGTTGTTTAGTTTATTCTTCTGCATAACATATATTGTTTTTCAGATTTTTTGGAWWTYTTTTTTKTTTTTTTTTTTTGGGTCTGCGTTTGGCCGAACGCCCGAACGCGTCGAGAGGGGGTGCTGAACGTTCGGGCGTTCGGGTTCGGGCGTTCAGCCAGTCCCAAACGCCGGCAACCCTGGTATCACCTAAAATAGCTCTTTGTTTTTTTAAAGGATGCAGTATTTTGATACACTGTACGATTTTTGCACCTGAATTATCAGACACCTGTCGGTCCAGGTTCTTCAACCTCGCGATGAATCGGTGACAGTCCGACGAAACAGTCTGGCAAAGTCATGCTTTTTTTTCCTAGTGTATAGTGAATACGACAACACACATGGCTGTGACATACTAGTTGCTCAGACTGACTTCAGCCATGGAGAAGAAATCATTTTAGTATTTTTTTTCTTTTTCAAGTTTTTCTAGTGTATAGCACATACGAAACAGTCGAGGCTGTGACATACTAGTTGCTCAGACTGACTTCCATTGTTGTCAGAAGTTCGGACCGACACTCTAGAAGGATTTCAGGGCTGGTGCGAGTAAATTCAGCCGGTTCTCTATTTCCGAGAAAGGGGTGTCGGTGACTCTGAGCGATGTGGTGAGCCCCTTATTTATCAATCAAATGTGTCCTGGGCAGATTTTTTGACAGGGTTCAACCTACTCCTGATGCGACCCTCAAAGT